AAATTTAAATTGCACTTTCAAGTCATTTAAAATCCAATTAAGTTGCTGTAAAGAAATAATTGGCAATTATTTAAATGCGACTCACCTTAAGTCGTAAATAGGCGGGGGTACTTCTTCCTCATTTTCTCCTTAACTTCCCAGGTCATTTCCTCGATGTTGTTATTTTGCCATAACACTTTCACGGAAGCCACTTCTTTAGTTCGAAGCTTCCTTACCTGCCGATCTAAAATAACTACTGGTACCTCTGCATAAGATAAGTCTTCAGCAATGTGAATATCCTCAATGGGCGTAATACGTGAAGGATCTCTAATGCACTTCCGCAACATAGATACATGAAACACAGGATGGACTGCTTCCAATTCTAAAGGCAAATCAAGCTCGTACACCACCTTACCAATCCTCCGAATTATCTTATACGGTCCAACATACCTGGTGCTGAGCTTCCCCTTCTTTCCAAATCGCATGACGCCCTTCATAGGCGATACTTTCAGGAAAACCTAATCTTCTACATCAAACTCTAAGTCTCGTCGTCGAACATCTACATAAGACTTTTGCCGACTTTGTGTTGTACGCAGCCGGTCTCTAATAAGTTTTACCTTTTCCATTGCTTGCTTGACTAAGTTAGGACCTAGCAACTCTGCTTCCCCGACCTCGAACCAACCGATCGGCGACCTACACTTTTGCCCGTATAGTGCTTCGTAAGGAGCCATCTGAATACTAGCTTGGAAGCTGTTATTATAAGCGAACTCAATAAGAGGTAGATGATCATCCCAACTTCCTTTAAAATCTAGCACGCAGGCACGTAACATATCCTCAACTGTCTGAATAGTACGCTCTGCCTGTCCATCAGTTTGCGGATGAAAAGCGGTGCTAAGAGTTACCTGCGTGCCTAGACCCATCTGAAAAGATTTCCAAAAATATGCTGTAAATTGAGCCCCTCGATCAGAGATAATAGATAATGGCACTCCGTGAAGGCGAACAATCTCTCGAATGTAAAGCTTGGCATAATCCTCGACTGAATATATCGTCCTGACTGGCAAGAAATGAGCAAATTTTGTAAGCCTATCAATAATTACCCAAATAGAATCATACCTCCATGGAATGCGAGGCAAACCAGTGATGAAGTCCATATTTATCATGTCCCATTTCCATAATGGAAGCTCAATACACTGAGTTAGGCCTCCAGGCCTCTAATGTTCGGCTTTAACTTGCTGGCAGTTGGGACATTGAGCTACCATCTCCGCGATATCTTTTTTCATTCCATTCCACCAATAGATCTGTCGAAGGTCCCGATACATCTTTGTCGCTCCGGGATGAACTGCATATCTAGAATAATGGGCCTCCGAAAGAATCTTGGCACGGAGCTCTCCTACTGACGGTACACATAAGCGGCCCTGGTATCTAAGGACTCTATCTCCAGTTAGCTCAAATAAAGGTTGTCGCTGCTGTGGAATACTTTCCCTCAGTTTTATAAGCTCAGGATCCTCATGTTGTCGCTCTTTCACTTCAGTAACAAAAGAAGATTTTTCCGTATTCTGAACGAGAATGCGTCCACCCTCTGCATCTACCAAACGCACCTGCAAACTAGCTAGCTGGCATAGATCTTTGGTCATCTTGACCTTATCAGCTTCAACATGGCTTAGACTGCACATGGACTTCCGGCTAAGGGCATCAACAACAATATTAGCTTTGCCGGGATGATATAAAATATCAACATCATAGTCCTTTAGTAATTCTAGGCATCTTCTTTGTCGTAGGTTCAACTCCCTCTGTTTAAATAAATACTGAAGGCTCTGGTGGTCGGTGAAAACATCAATATGAACCCCATATAGATAATGCCGCCAAATCTTTAGGGCAAATACAACTACGGCTAACTCAAAATCATGCGTAGGATAGTTCTGTTCATGTTTTCGCAACTGTATGGAGGCGTACGCGATAACCTTACCATGCTGCATAAGAACACAACCTAGGCCAATTATCGAGG